GGGGGGGGGACTTCCGTCTTGTCGAAGCTTAAAATTCACAGTTGAAACCCGTGCCTACGTCTAAAAAGTTGTTTTCCTCTGCAAAAAAAGAACTGAGAACTTGTTTACTGATTTTTTTTTTTTAATTAAAAGCTTTGTGTGAAAAATGCTAAAGAGCTCAAACCACACCGAGCGTCCGCCATTTTGAGAACCGAAAAAAGGAAAGAGACACAGCCCATGTCACGTCAAGGGGCCTCCCTTCCATTTTTCTTAAAGAGACTCGCTGCTCGCTCCCTCACTATCCATCCTTCGGTTCAAACAGTCTCATACTGCCATCCAGTGGTCAATAACGGTACTACACGCAAAACAAGTCAACATTTCTTCTTAAATTTTACAGTAATTACTAATTATTGTCAAATTTCTAACAATATTATCGTTTATCGCAATAATTTCTGAGACAATTAATCGCCCAGTAAAATTTGTTATCGTGACAGGCCTAAGCTTCAGCACTTCTGGGGGCACCTCCAGCAGGAGCATCATCGTAAATCTGCTGAAAAAACATTGCAATGCAAAATTGGTGCAGTGTAAAGGTTTATAAAACAGAGTTCCTATGAGCATCTATGAAAGTAGAGTGATTAAAGTTGTTTAAAGACGACAGGAGTCCACTTTAGCTTTGGCCCGACTCAAACGACTCTGCTGTTAGCTCATGAGTCTGGTCAGAAATCAACTTTATTTCTCCAAACTGAGTTTGTTCAACGAGTTGTCTACTGCAGGTAAGACTGCAATTTGTATTCATAACATCTGAAATTTATTTTTAATATTGAAATATGGAGAACAGGTCCAGGTTTTTCATTTGAACTACATTCATGGGTAGCCACATGTCTTGTTTTTTAAAATTTATACAGATAATTGTTTTCATAACTCTTAATTTATTTTTATTTTTACTTCACTTTCATATTTGAATTTTTTTTTATCCTGTATAGTGATAATTTTTTTGTTTGTTTTAAGAGAGTAAAGTATAAATAAAACTGTATCAGCACTTTATTCCAATAATTTTAACATGATAATGCAGACATTGCACTGCTCTTTATAACTTTGTACCATTTTAAAATCTGCTCCTTCGTGCCTTAAAACCATTGAACAAACGTGTCTCTTTCAAGTTCATCGCTGTAAGTTGTGCGAAGTCGAGTGCCTTGAATTTCTAAATGTTGCTGTTTACACGGGTTTTTATTGTTGCACTGAATGTGCTGTAGCCGTTCTACATACAGTTTGCAAAAAATACTAATTTAAATGGAGTACAAATGGGGCACAGATATATGTTTGGCATTTATTTAATTATTGAAAGTTGAAGGCAAGAGTAAAATAGTAAAATTAAGGATTTTTTATGCTACTTTTTTTTTATATATTCCATGGTTAAACAAAGTTGTTGTTATTAAACTGCAACATTCAATGAGAATAAACACTCAGAGACTTTTTAAATGCTGAAATTTTATTTTCTATATATATATATAGATACTAAAATTGTTTTCTGAGCATTGCCTGTTTTTGTTAGGAACACTGTTTTACTGCTAAATTATTTAATCTATTGTAAAAAATAAATAATACAATTCTGCTGGACAATGTAAGCATAACAGACAAAATCAGTCTGAAGCGATATTTTATTTATGTAACTCTTATTGATCATTTTGTTAAACCTTGAAAAAGTGAAATACATCCTGCAACATCCATACCACTCCAATCTGTACATGTACTGTATTTTTCAGACTATAGGGCGCACTTAAAATCCTTTAATTTTCTCAAAAATCAACAGTGCGCCTTATAATCCGGTGTGCCTTATGTATTAATTCTGGTTGTGCTTACTGACCTCAAACTGATTTCATGTGGTGCACGGCGCTCAAAAATCTGTCAAAATGTTTTAGTTTCGCTTAATGTGCCTTATAATCCGGTGCGCCTTATAGTCCGGGAAGTACGGTACTGATTGTTAGTTTTTTCCTGCACCTTACCGGAGTTTATTTTTCTCTTTCACATGCATCAGAATGTAAAATTTATAATCGGAGCAAAATAGTTTGCTGAGCTAAGCCATAAAGAAAAGGTTTTCGTTCAGTCTCTTTGTTTTCTGTTCAAATGTTTCTGCTTGAATTTGTTTGATCAATAAAACGAGAATTTGTATTTACATATTGTTTATTGTACAGTTTTGACGTTTTTATTGGTGCACAAAGTTGCACAGTGGGTAAAACTATGTGATAATATTGCAACTATATATTTTCAAAGAGCGCTCTAAAACATGAAATACTCGCAGAAGTATTCTGGCGCTGTGTACTTCCAGTAGAGGGACATAAAACAGGATGGGGTGTGAGAATACTGGGGCCTGGCAGAGTCAATAAAACACTTTAACACAGGAGAGTGGCACAAAATATCTTTAAAAATGAAGTTCTGTTGAACTTATAATAACTGTGTTCAGAAAATATCCAGACCCACTTCACTTTTTGAAGTTTTATGTTGCAGCCTGCAGCTACAGTCTTTTTGTTTTTTTATCATTCAACCTTTATTTAGACAGGTAAATCCCATTGAGCCTCGAGGACTCATTTACAAGAGAGACCTGATAATGATTTAAATCATCGTTTTGATTAGATCAGAATTGCACAACGGCAAAGAGAAAACACAATTTTCGTCAACTCGGAACCTGAAATATCACATTTCCACAAGTTTTTAAGACCCTTATTTAGAACTGACTTGGAGCAACTTGGGCAGCAGTTCCAGCCTGGAGGTTCTCAGCGTTTGATGCATCGAGTTTTGTTTGCTGGGGAACTTTCTGCCATTCTTTTTGTACAAATCCTCGCAGCTCAGTCCGGTGGGTTGGGTACTGTTGGTGGAGCCATTTTCCAGTCTGCCCAGATGTTCATTAGGGTTCAGGTCAGGGCTCTGACTGGTCCACTCGAGGACATTCAGAGTTGTCTCTAAGCCAGTGGTTCCCAACACTGGTCCTTGAGGAACACCATCCTTCATGTTTTAGTCGTTTCGCTGCTCCAACACACCTGATTTAGTGGTTTAATTACTTCCTCATGTTCTGCAGAAGCCTGTCAATTACCCATTAATTAAAATCAGGTGTGTTGGAGCAGAGAAACAACTAAAACATGCAGGATGGTGTTCCTCAAGGACCAGGGTTGGGAACCCCTGCAAAGCCACTCGGGACCTGATTTCTCTGTGTGTTTTAGGTCGTTCAGCCTTCGCTCACTGACCAGTCTCCCAGTGCTACTGTTGGACTGGATTTGAACAGGTGACAAGTGTCGCCTGGTTTTCTCCTGACAAAACGTTAAGATTTGAGGCCAAACAAGTTGGGTCTTCATTTCATTGGACCTGTTCCTCAGTGTGAGAGGCCCAAGTGGGTTTTGCAGTGAGGACAGAAAGTCAAAAAGCCCAGGTCAGAGGGGGCCTGCAGTTCTGGTCGTCCTGGAACCGAGTCCCATCCCCACGTAGGCTCGGTCAAAGTGACCATCGGGTTCTTGGTACTCTGTCGAAGGCCCAGACGTGACAGTAAATACTTTATGAACCCTCTGTATTTTAAGAACGAGTTTTCAGATTAAGTTCTACCTCCAGGTCAGTCGCCGGTTTCCGCTAATCCGATGCGTAAAACAACTTGCACAATCTTGAACTCTGCTTTAAAATTCCTAAACCACCACAGTCCGTACGTTCAGTCATGCACATTTCTTGTTACAGTTATGTCACCGTGCGTTTTGGAAACATCTTGGTGTTGGCGACTTTTCAGGAACCTCTCAATTTCTTGGGATGACGGCTCGGTGGAAAAACAGCTGCAAGAGTCCGTCGATGTGCATGTCTGCTCGCGTAGAACGAGCACAGTGTTGCTTTCTTTCTGGTTTACACTGTTCTGATGTGCAGAAATAATAAACCCAACAAAAAGAGTGATTAAATGATCATTGGCGAAAAGGAAGAAGCAGGTCAAGATAATGGATGGATGGATAATTGTCAGGCAATTAGAACAGAAGAGCTTTATTATTTTACAAACTCAGCGGTTTACCATTTATAGTCCAATTTGTTTTACAGGTGAAATTACCTAAAGACGCAGACGGTTTACTCCTGTATGATTGGGCTTTTTAGGATCTCTCGACAACATTCTCACGTTTTGGTTTTTATTTCTAACTTTCATTTCTACAACTTCAGCTAGATTGGGCTTTGATTCTCCACAGTCTACAAGGTTTTTAACATTTAATGGCTCCGAGTCGTTGAGACTGGGACGAAGGGCGTTTAGTCAAACAGCTTGGCCGCTGTGGCCTTGCCGTCGTACTTCGAACCTTTTCCATCAAATTCAGCTGGAAGGATCTCAGGGTCGAACTCCTTGTAGTAATTTTCCAGCTCGTCTCCATGAACAAACACCTAAAGCACAAAGACAAGTAGTTGGTGTTTTGTCTATTAAACCAGCAGCAACTTTAAACTTACATCCAACCGTTTCATCCAACACAAACTAGTTGAAGCTTCTTGTTTAATTCAAGAACAGTTTTCTGGAAGTGTAAATTAAAAATCACAGTAATTAACTTTAACGTGCCTACTTTTACGAGCGTTTCCTTGGAAGCTTGATCCGTTCACTTCTGTAATTGTTTCATTTTGAACATCTTGTTTGTAATCCTCAGTAGTGCTTTTAGATTGCAGGTGGCTACACTCAAAGTGGTTTTTATTTTTATTATTTTAATTATTTTGACACTGAACATTGACAATTTGTAGTCATTTTAACTGTTTATGGAGTCTTTGTAGCTTCTTCTTCAGGTCTTGTCCATACGAAAACACAATTTTTCCAAAACAACCTTTTATTTGCCGTTTCTAAAAATATCCTTATAAATACAGCACTGTTTCTAGAGATGTTTGCATCCACACGAAGACGCGTAGAAAAATACCCAAAACGGGTGAAGGTGAAGCACCCACTCCAGCATCCACCCTCATTTTCCCAACTGCGTGCCCTTGAGCAACGTCTTTAACCCCTCAGCTGCTCTCAGGTGCCTTAGCTTGCAGCCCTCGGCTCTACGTGTGTGCTCACATGTGCAATGGAGAAAATAGAGTATAAAAATAATAAAACATTGTAGTAACCATGCCAGTATGTGGCTCTGTAATGCTCCATGACTATACACCACCAGCAGGAAGCCTGAATGAGCGGGAAACGTACACACAACAAAAAGAGGACGCCCTCGTGCCGAAGACTGGAGTCGAGGTGTGGCTATGACATCACCGTTTTCAAAATGTTGCAACCACACGTGTGTGTCAGAGCTCAAAATGGAGTCTTGAGGGATGTAAAGGAAAATGATTGTTCCACAGGAGTACACTGACTGGCCAAGAAAACGGAATGATTCCCATCATCTATTAAAACTGATTTTTTTATAGTTAAAATAGAAGCTGCTTAACTGTTGCGTGACGCACTCTTCATTGAGCGCATGCAGCACAAAGTAGACCGTTGTTTGACTCTTGGTTCTTAAAACTACTTCCAAATGTTGGATGCACTCAGCGCTCTCCTTCAAAAAGTAAGACCCACGATGCAGCTCGAACAAAGAGTCCTTCATTGTTGGTGGTGAATGTCGCGCTCGTACAGAAAGGGACGCGGCTGATCACTGGCCAAGTGTCGTACAACCGAATGAGAAGATAAAGGTCCTCATGACGACTTATAATGAGACTAATAGTTCTTATTAACCACAGAGTCCTTTACGCAGTTTGGACCCAAAAAATGTTATAAAGCAGTTTTTGTTTCTCTTTTTGTCACTGCTGAAACATTTTATGTATCTGCATTTGAACCCCGTTTCTGGCACCAAAGTACTTCCATAAGGTCTGAAACCATCGTCCTCCTTGTTGTGTGAATGTTTATGAAGCTCTCACAATATTGATGATCAATATTGTGATCCGTTTTTCTTCTGTACGTTCTTCAGCGTCTTTCTCGTTCCACAATTTGTGCCATTTTAACAAGTCATAAATCAAAATGTTCAGCTCATTCAGGACAATCCTGCTGTGACTTATTGGTGCAACTTTAGCTTTTTGAAATATTTAGCCTTTTCTGCCATTTTTTCCTCATAGAAAATGAATTGAGCTCATTTTACATCCTTCAAATCTTTAGCTCTGTTTACAACCTTTTACTGCTCCTTTCACTTTTTGTTCTGCTTCAGCTTCTTTCAGCTTCCTTCTGCACATTTAAACTTTTTTATAGCTATTTTTCAGCTGTTTTTCCAACTACTTTGTGCTCCTTTCAAATTTCTGCTAACTACAACATTTTTGTGCTTCTAACGTCTTTCTGCTCCTTTCGGCTTATATATGCAAGTTTCAGCTTTTTCTGTTATTTCAATTATAAATTTACAGGTAGTTGTTTTTATGCTAATTTTAGCTTTTTTGACTAATTCCACTTTTTTTTTTTCCACTCACTTCAACTATTTTCAGTCTAAATCAGCAAAAATGTTCTTTCTCCCCTCCTTCTGGTAATTTAAGCTTCTTTCTGCTCTTTTAGCTACTTTTCAGCAAGTTTTTTTTTTTTTTTTTTACTAATTTCAGCTTTTTTCAGATAATTTCCACTTTTTTGCATTCATTTCTGCTTCTTTAAGCCAGACTGGACAAAACATGTTCTGTCTGATTTCTTCTGCTACTTTAAGTTTTTTTCTACCTTTTCAGCTACCTTTTTTTAGCATTTTAGCTAATTTCAGCCGTTTCAAATAAATTCATGTGTTCAGTGGTAATTTCTGCTACTTCCAGCCTAATTAACTTCTGTATTTTCTTCAGCTTGTCATGCTCCTTTCGGCTTATTTCTGCTAGTTTAAGCCTTCTGCTATTCCAGTATTTTCTTCAGCTTGTCATGCTCCTTTCGGCTTATTTCTGCTAGTTTAAGCCTTCTGCTATTCCAGCTACTATTTAGCGGTTTTATGCTAATTTTAGTTTTTTGGCTAATTCCACATTTTTTTAGCTCTTTCTGCTTCTTTTAGTTTAAGCTTTTTTCTGCAGTTTCAGCTACTTTTCAGCAATTGTTTTTGCTCATTTCCTAATTTTTGTGCTCATTTCTGCTTATTGAAACCTAATTCAGCAAATATGTGTGTTTTTCTGCTTTCTTATGGTAATTTAGGTTTGTTCTTCCATTTCAGCTTTTTTAGCTAATTTCAGCTGTTTTTCAGAAAGCTCTCCTGCAATAAGCATTCACGCTGCATTTGCACAGGAAATGCGGTTTCTGTAGTTTGACATTATTTTAAATGAAGTAAATCTGACTCACTCGCTCTAGCAGTTTGCTCTTCATGAGGGGTTTGACCACGTTGTAGGTGGTGGTGAAGTACCAGGGCTGGTGGATGAAGTGCACGGCTTTGAAGCGGGCAGGAAACGAATCCTGGGGGATGACAAACAACACACAGTGGTATAATCATCAGAAAGTCTAGTAGGTACGTGAGACGGGGTTTTATTCCTCTCAGCTTCAGCACGAGGTTATGAACTACTTCCCACCTGCAGCATGTCCACCATCTTCTTGAGCTCGGTGGGTTTGATTCCTGAAGCCTGCTGCATCGTGAAGCCTTTGAAATTCTCAATGATGCAGAATCCGTTGATCTGAGTCTCCTCGTTCTCCAGCAGCTTCTCCAGGATCACACAATAAGCACGCAAGATCTGAACGCACACGACGAGAGCCCTTTCATCACCACCATGACATTAAACCTTCCTCAAAAAGGCCAATACCTCCCGTTTCAAACTGAACGTACCTCGTCGAAGGTGATCTCTTCATAGTCCCAGTTCTCAATGTTGAAGAGCAGAACCACGCGGCCGTGTTTGTCTCTGCTGTGCAGGATGCCGGGGTAACCAGCCTCGATGGTGCTGCGCACAGCCTCGGGGGTCAGGTTTTCAAACAGCTCGGGGTAATCCTTCCTGAAACGCACGTATCCTGAAGAGAGGCACCACAGGATCGGCTGTTAGAGCTTTGGATGAAAACAAGCTGCGCAAATTAAAACACAAGTTGTGAGTTTTCCTGTTGTTCTCCACAGACTAAAAACATCTTCCAGGTCCAACCGAACCACAGTTCAATCATATGGATCCAGATTACATTTGAAGTCTTTATGGTTACCATATTTTTTTTTTACGTATAAGTCGTGTTTTTTTGCATAGTTTTCATGCCCTGCGACTTATTTATGTTTTTTCCCATTTTTATAAACCAATTTTTGGCTGAGATATGAACGGTTTTATTAATTCTGATTGAAAATATTGAACACTACCATTTTCAGCCGCTAGATGGCGTTGTGTCATGCAATAGGTAAAAAGTGACTATTAATGGCACAATCAGCTTGCCATAGTCTGCCACCTTCGTCCAGCTCGCCTGGAGCAACCGTCAAATCGGCTTCATTTCACTGCACCGCCCTGACGAAATGAAGCCGATTTGACCCTTTGCTATAATGTCGAGCAAACAAATGCTTGTGTTTAAGTGCTTATCTTGTTAAATTTTCAAGAAATGCACAGCGAGTCCTGCCGTGCACGCTCCTGCAGCCGCGAATCGGCTTTTGAAAAATGCAGCGGATTTGACCGTTTAACATGATCTGACTGCAGCGTGCTCGAGCTCACGCGCAGGAAGGGAATGAGGCTCCAGTAAATAAGTAAAAACCGTTTATTAATTAAATAAACAAAACAAGACGTGGCAGCGGACTTACTCAGAGGAGGAGGACACGAAGGGAGACAGCCTTGTTGGACGGGACAAGAACAATCCAGAGACACTGACAAGACACCAAGGGGCTGAATATATACAGACGCTGACGAGGTGAAATGACAGACGCCTGCGGTGATTAGGATTAGACACAGGTGCGACAGATCACAGGAGGAGAAATGCTGAGGAGGGACTGGTAAACATGAGGGACAAACGCAGGACCAGACCCCAGAAACCCTACACCGTTAAAGTGCATTCATTAAGAAAACGTTCAACTGAGACACACCTTTTCTATAATTCTGAACAAACAAATGTGTGTTAATCTTGTTCAAGTCCTCCCGTGCACGCTCCCACGGCCGCCATTTGGCAGCCAATCAATTTTTGGCACATCAGCCCACATTTCCAGGTTGCCAGCAGTGACGCATAATAGATGCAACGTATTTATGAACGTTTCCACTTCATTAGACATATTTGGACTGATGCGACGTGTACGGCGGAAAATACGGTATATGGTGTAGAATTATCATGTTTTATGTTACAGAGGAAGACAAATGCTGTCGGTAAATCCAAATTCCTTCAGCTCGTCATCTGAGCTTACCCTTTATGAGCTCGAAGGCTCGGACCACGTCGTACTTCCTGGCGCGAATGAAGCGGACCAGCATTCCGTCGGGTTTCTCCCCAAAGGTGTCCTGCACTCCTTTGGCCAGATCATCTCCTCCGTCTGCCTTTTCTTTGATCATCGCTCGCAGCTCCTTCACTGCAGCCACGCGCTTCTCGTCTGTCTCGTTCAGCTCGTCCTTGGCCTTCGGTTGGAGACAAACCACACGGTTAAAAGGTGGTCTTGTCATTTTTTTAATATTTAGCACCTTGTCAGCCATGACATCACTCAGAGAGCATCGAGTATGGAGAAAAGGGAAGAAGTCTTTTTCCAAGCTAGACTGGCAGCTGCACGAACGAGCACTCATTTTATATATATATTTCAGAAATGAACAGACTATCCCTTTGAGTAAAGATTATTTTTTTAGATATTTGGAGCTTATAGTCGAATAGAGATAAATTTGGACTGGACAAGCAAACTAATGTCTCGTCAGCAGGACCAACAGCAAAGTGGACTGGTGTTTTAAAACAACTCCAGCAACAACTCTATTCTTTCGTGGTTTGTGCAAACACAAGTTTGTCAAGTTTCCATTGCCATCATTTTCCCATTTCACAGTTATTTCCTCAGAAGAATCTGATCCTTTACACTAAAGTCTTTGATGTCTGCAGTAACAGCGGAGCAAAAGATGCAAAACAGAACCTGATGCAAAAGTGATGTGATGTAAAACTCACAACTGTTAATTGAGTTCTTCCTATTAATCTGATAACTGAAAGCTCCGCCTCCCGTTCTGCTTTTGGAAACTTTAGGAACCACAAGGAAACCTGCAGTCGTATTAATAAGTTCTTCATTTTCCTCAAATATTTCTTCTGTTATGTTTCATTTTGCAGTTAGATACCCTTATTAGTAATAAAGAGTGTTTAAAGAAGTTATTTACATAAATAAATGTTGAGTTTGCATGAACCACTATGAAACCTTGAGAGTGATGATGTTTTAAGACCACAACAATCCACGTTGGTCTTGGTCCTGCTTGGATTAACCTTGTAATCTCATCCAAGTTACAGCCTTGGCGGTTTTATTTTTATTTTCTGACTTGTGAGGCTCTCATAAGTGTCCGTTTATTCCCCCCTCTGCAAAATACAGGAGGCCTATATTAATAGGTTAATCTTTTTTTTTTTGTGAGAAAACAGATGTGGCTGCAGATGTGACTACCTTCTGCCTGGTGTGGTCTGGTAGACTGGCACAGGGTCCGAACACTGGTCCGTGGTCCTTGACAGTGAGACGCTCCAGCTTGGCCCGGAGAGCCTGCTCCTCCTCCGACACCATTCGGTAAGTTCCACTCTGAAATGAACGAAGGCGATAAAACGACTCGTCAGCATTTCATTTTTTAAAACGAACACAAAGCACAACTCATAGGGACAATAAAAGTTCCAGATCAGTGAAATTCAATGATGTTTGACACAAAAATCCTTCAGAACACCAGAAGAACGAGTGACAAACAACTAACAAGTTTTTTTTCCCGTTAGTTATCACTTGTTGAATCATGGGGATTATTGGTCAGTGAATTTCTGTAGCTCGGTGGACGATGCCATGGTTTTGTGTTCCTGAGGTTGCGGGTTCGAGCCCATGTTGGGTCAGGAAGGACATCCAGCATAAAACAATCACAACAATGCGAGTTTGCTCGCTGTAGCAACCCCTGAATGGAGCAGCCAAAATATATTTTTTTAACAAGACTTTCAGTGAGCAGAACGGTGGTGCAGTTTGTAGAGCTGCTGCCTCTCAGCGAGCAGGTTGCCGGTTTAAATCCCAGTCTGGGAGCCCTTCTGGGTGGAGTTTGCATGTTCTCTCCGTGCATGCGTGGGTTTTCTCTGAGTACTCCTGTTTCCTCCCACATACCAAAAACATGCATGTTAGACTGATTAGCAGTGGTGGAGAAAGTACTCAAACTCTGTACTTAAGCAAAAGTACGAATAAACAGACAAAACTGTATTCTAGTAAAAGTAGAAGTACTGCATTAACGTTTTTCTTTAAGTAAATAAGTACTTGCTTTTAAAAATACTTAAAAGTATTAAAAATAAAAGTACATGCAGAATGTATCACCTAATGCAATATCATTAAGTATTCCTACTGTGTGTATATTTTCTGCAATACATTAATAGTGTTGTGTAATTTTACTAAACGATGCTGCAGATAAAACATGTTTTTATTGTGTTTACTCTGTGACACCGTGCACACTTGGACTGTGTCAGAATTTCAGGGATGACCTGCAGAGTTAAATGACATTAAGCAAAATAAGAAAGAGGAATGATTATAACCTTTGAAAGTTTTTATTTAACACAAAGTAAAATCAGTGTGTCATTTTAACTGCAGTAAACACATTTAAGTAAAAGTTGTTCGTTTAAAAAAAAGGAGCATTAGACCTGACAAAGGAACATCGGATCATTTCAACTCCAGTTTGTCATCAACTCCAGTTAAAACACTGTCTAAACCTTGTAATGGGTCAATATTGAACAATAGTTTAACTTCCTGACACCATCTCTCGTCTCCTAACATCCATGAACCGACACATTTTAATATTGCAGCAAGAATTTCTTGTTCAAGTTCAGAAGAAGTTGGTTTTCAAAGTTTTTTGAGTCCAGTCTGGTTCTTCTGGGAGAGAATCTGTCCTGCTGCACTGAACAGTCTTTCAATAATCTTTCAATGATCTTTCAATAATCTTTCAATAATCTTTCAATAATCTTTCAATAAGACCATGGGTGGTGCGTATCTTCTGGCTGACTCTCTGCAGTGGAATCCATTCTAGGTGTGTTAGTGGGGCTGCGGGTGCTCCCAGCTCAACGATGCATATACTAGAATATACGTCATTGGTCCAGCTCTTCTTGAAGGCGGGTCTAACGTTACCTGCCCACTTTGCAGTGATTCACTGGACCAACTCTCCTCTCACCACTCGTTACTTTCAAACTAACGAACAAATAAAAAACTGTAACGTGCAACATATTATAGAAATGTAGTGTAGTAGAAAGTACATACAGTACTTAATGTAAAATGTAGAAAGTACCCACGTTTAACTCTACTTAAGTAAATGACAGATACATTAAAAATGTACTTAAGTACAGTAACGAAGTACTTGTACTTCGCTACATCCCACCACTGATGATTGGTAACTCTATAGGTGAGAGAGTGAATGTTTGTCTCTATGTGTCCCTGTGATGGACTGGAGACCTGTCCAGGGCGTCCTCCGCCTCTCGCACAGTGATAGCTGGGCATGGACACCAGTGACCCCCGTGACCCGAAAAGTTAGAAGCGGGTGAAGATGATGGATGGTCGTGGCAGTCGTTTGATGAAACGCCTCAACGGTTTCACAAAAACTAAACGCTCTGATGTCTTTGTCCTGTTTACAGAAAAGCACAAGTTGAGCAAGACTTCGGATGAAAGCTGAACGTGTTTCTGCGCCAGCATCATTTGATCACATGACGTGGCTGTGCGAGCGTTAATCCGCAGGACGCATGCTCGTTAAGAGGAACACGATCAATGGGCCTCAGTGTCGGTTAATCTCCTTCACGAGTCTAGAAAAGTCTGTAAACAGAAGAAGGGCTGCTTGTGGCCGATGAGAGATTAGCAGCTGCTGTAGCGGCTGACGGCCTCCGTGACAAAGAACTTTAGCCTTGGGAAATGAGCTGAAGCTGAAACTGTAGCAGGGAGGTGTTTGTGGAGGAGGCGGGGTTAAAAAGGAGGAGGGTGTGTTTAGCATGACCTGCTACAGGAGGCCTGGGTCAATTATAAGCACCGATTAGAACTCAACACATTTTGAAAGCAGTAAAAATGTTAATACTTACGACTACAGCCATGCTCTGAAACCAGCCTCTGTGGAAAAGAGAGCAGCACAGTTGTGATTCCCAGTCAATAAAAGAACAATCGGCGCTCTGTGCTCCATATTAATCCCCTTCATTCCACCCTCTCAGCACTCGGAGCACTTTCCCTGTGCTATTTTTGACACTTGCCTTATCTGGATGGTTTATCAGGAGGCTGACGGCCCTTTTGGTTTAATTATGAGCAGCTTTACAGCAGCTGTCCGTCACTCTGTTCAGTCTGAGCGTTAATATTCAGATGTGTAAAATAAGGTTTACGTCAATCTTAGACGGCGTCTGTGCAGATCACGCAACAAAAGTTTACTCGTTTATTAGACGTTTCTCTTTAAACAAGCTCTTCATCATATTTTTTTAATGAGATGCTTCACGTGTCAGTTTGGTGAATCAGTCCTTTGATGTTCCGTACCTGATGACCATCTTGAGGAGCTCGTTTACTTTCGGAACGATTAAAATGTTGCTTTAAACACAAGTGAAACGTTTCAAGGCCTCTGATTTGTTCAAACAACCACATAAAAACAGCACCAGAGTCTCACAGCCAGAGTTTTACATCAGCGCCACGTCCAAAAGGATGGAGGTGGAAGAGGAGGCAGAGAGGACTTACCTGTGGCAGACGTGCAGCAGTTGTTGAGAAGTCACCGGCGGTCTGAGTGGAGCTGAGGTGGACGGGGTTGTGTGATTTGTAGCGCTGGAATCAGTGGCGTCACAAAAGATTACTTCCAACCGGGGGGGTCGGGGCTGATGGTGGCACAATAGTGGAAATGCTGAGGTGCATTTAGATGATGTAATGTTTAGTTTATTTGGTAAGAAGTTTAAGCAAATTTGATTGTATTTCAAAAGGACTTTAAGTGACCCTGTAACAGTGGGATCAGTCTGATTCTGATACTGTCATCCTACAAAAATCCATCCATCCGTCATCTTCTGCTCGTTCTGAAGTCAGGTCTCGGGGCAACATCTTGAGCAGGGAGGTCCAGACATCTCTTTCCACAGCCACCTCTTCCAGTTTTTCTTGGGGGACTCCAAGGTGTTCCCAGACCAACCGAGAGACGTAGTCTCTCCAGCGCGCCCTGGGTCCTCCCCGGGGTCTCCTTCCAGTCGGACATGCTCGAAGCATCTCCCTAGGGAGGCGCCCAGGGAGCATCCTTACCAGATGCTTGAACCACCTCAACTGGCTCCTCTCGATGAGGAGGAGCAGTAGTTCTACTCCGAGTCTCTCCTGATAACTGAACTTCTCGTCCTGTCTCTAAGGGAGAGTCCAGCTACCCTGCAGAGGAAACTCATTTCAAGCTCCTGTATCCACGATCTCATTCTTTCAGTCACTACCCAGAGTTCATGGCCATCGGTGAGGGTAGGAACATAGACCGACTGGTAAGCAGAGAGCTTCTCCTTACAGCTCAGCTCCCTCTTCACCACAACGGACCGAACAAAGACCTGGCTGAACATGGGAGGACCTCGACATGAACGTGTTGTGTGTGGAGGACAGGGGAGTGTTTTAGGGGGAGGGGTAAGACATGAGGACGCAAGGCTGTGCTGTCAGGGTTCCCTGAATCACTACCAGAGGGAACCTGAGGTCAAACCTGATGGCTCCCCACTCCATGACGCCAGGGGTTATGCCCGTGTGTTAGCAGGAATGGTCTTCTCTCTTCTGCACTCCTTTTGATGGTCATCTGTGGTGATGCAGAACCAATCATCACTGACTGACGAACTGAACTGGCTGCAGATGCCGATCCATCCACTGAGACCCTGCAAACCTTTTGTCCTCTTGGGCAGCAGGACGGCCTGAATGCCGACAGAACTCCTCCCCGAGCAATGGTCATTTCTTGCAGCAGCCTGCCGAGCCCCTCGTCACTGCAGACTTAATTGCAGGTGCCAGAGGACGATCTCGGTCCTCCCGCTGTTGTAAGCTGTGGTCAGGCACTCGAGCACAGCCTTCAGGTAGACGGTAATGCATCCACGGCACCTCCTTTTCAACTCATTTGGGATTTGGTGCTGTAGTTGAGGTCTTATTTGGGCTTTTGAGATGTTAATTAGCAGCTCCCAGTTGTAGAAAACCACCTTGCTGTTAAGGTTACGCATCATAACAAATGTCCAAATGTAAAAAAGGTTTCAGTAAAAACCCTTCCAGCTGCACAGCATCTGATACCAGAGGAAGTAATCATCTGACAAAAGTGATTTACATCCAGAAAAATGTGTTTTCAAAAGCAATATCTCAGAATGAATGTGAGCTGCTCCAACACGCAGCCACCTTGAGCGGCGCAATTCTGGAATATGTATAAATATATAATAATACTTGGTGCAAGGAAAAGTCCAGATATTTTATCTGCTGGCTTCAGCTGCCATTGAACGTGATCTAGTGTTGGTGTGCTCATTTTCAACAACTCCTGATCTGCTGCAGCTGAAATACAAAAGCTTAAGGAAGCACATCAGGAAGCTGTGGTCGAGTCAAATGTAGCTGACCGCTCGGGGAATCTGACACACTCACACCAGTAAACTCACTGGATCTTAGCGTCACATCGAGGTTCTTGTAAAGGTTTTGCTTCCTCTATGTGTGGACTGAGTACACAGGTTCGAGAACTTGTACATTTCTTTTGGAGCTTGTCCACTTCACCCTCCCTGACCCTGGTGGTTCGAACGCCACTCATGCACGTTTCCCTCAGACGTAACAGAGGAGGAGCCGGCAGCTGGCCAGTAATCTGCTAAACCAGGCCCGATCAGCTCAACGAAGCGATTTGTGGAACAAAATTAGATGGATTGGGTGAACAATGACACGTTGTCCGCTGGCTGTACCCATGCAGCCTTTGGAAGTGTGAGCTCACCCCAGGGTTCAAGTGAGAACAGAGATGCTGAAGAACGAGAACTTTTACACAGATGCTACCAAATACTAAGAACATGTATGGACTTTGAAAAACGTTACAAAATGCTCGTTAGTTGAGTATTTTCCACTGGACTGCCAAACTCGGGTCCTCTACCAGAGGCCGGAGGGTTCTGCTCAGTACCTTAGATGTTCCTAGGACTGTGCTCGTCTGCACAGAGCTCTCACGTTGTTCCTGGGATCTGTTGGAGCCACTCTTCCAGTTTGAGGATCACAGCGCCAAGTGCTCCAAGTGCTTTTCAACAATAACTGAGCTTATCCAACAAGGTGGTAGCTTTTTCTACCTGGATTATTGAGCATGCATCAGTAACTGATCTTGTATGTATATTTATGACCCCTTGTAAATTGAAGAAAATCTACTATGAATTCTTGTGCAACATTTAAATCGGCAAAGTTGTATATTTATTGCTTTATGAAAAAAGCAGATTCAACAAAATCCTTAAAAGCCTGATCGTTGTCGTATATCGCCTTATAATCTAGCTGTTTTTGTTTAGCCATCTTATTTGTAAAAAAAAAAATCTGTATACCTCTTTTATAACTGTCTATTGTTGTCCATTGTGTCATCACCCTTTGTTGAAATCAGGTCTCTCTTGTAAATGAGTCCTCGGGGCTCAATGGGATTTACCTGTCTAAATAAAGGTTGAATGAACGAAAAGTATATAGTGTGTATGTAAACTTCTGACCCCAACTGCATGCTAGGATGTTCACAGGAATGAATTGAAATTAAAGTGGAGAAAACCAAACACTTATATCCATCCATCATCTTCCTCTTGTTCTGAAGTCGGGTCTCGGGGGCAGCAGCTTGAGCAGGGAGGTCCAGCCACCTCTTCCAGCTCTACTGGGAGGACTCCAAGGTGTTCCCAGACCAACAGAGACGTAGTCTCTCCAGTGTGTCTTGGGTCTTCCCCGGGGTCTCCTCCCAGTCGGACATGCCTGAAGCACCTCCCTAGGGAGGCGCCATGGGAGCATCCTTACCAGAGTTCATGACCAGAGGTGAAGGTAGGAACAGAGACCGACCAGTAAACTGAGGGCTTCGCATTACAGCTCAGCACCCTCTTCACTACAACGGACCGGCACAGAGTCCACAATACTGCAGACGCTGCACCAATCTGTCAATCTCATGCTCCATTTAATTTGTGAACAAAACTCAGATACTTGAACTCCTCCACAGTGACAATGGGCAGCCCTGGAGTCCAACTTCCACCCCGAAGGGGTCCAACTAACGACCTGCAGTGCGAACCAAACTCAGCGCTTGTACAGGGACCGAACAGCCCGTTGCAACGGGCCCCCAGTCCCATAATCACCGAGCAGCCCCCACGTAACACTGAATTATACCCGACTCGCAGTGCTTCAACTGGACACTGCAAACTTTATTTTACCACCGAGCAGTGAACGGAGGTACTGAAGCACAACTCTGATCTCAGAACAGTTTGAAACAGCAGAGGCCACACGTGAACGTGAGAACTTTTAAACACGCTGCGCCGGGACGGCAGCGATGGAAACTCGGCTGACGTGGCGTCAGGTTTGCCCTCGTCGATTCCTGAGCTGTGCAAAAGTGCAGGAATCTTAATAAAAACAACTTGTCTAAATGTGGAATAAACAGCAACACACCGGTGATGGATCAAATGTGTTGAAGGCCTGGATGTTTTAGTTCACACAGTGTCCACTGGTTCTTCTCTGCAGATTTAAAAGTTGCTCATGTGGAGGTTTCAAAGCATTTCAGACCGAACCGTGGCTTCAACGCATCACCGTGCCGCTTTAGAACAGGTTCTTGATTTTGGAGAAGAAAAAAAAAGGTCAACTACAGCAGTCCCTCGCTACTTCACGGTTCATTTCTCACAGACTCGCTCTATTGCGGTTTTTCAAAATAAGACTGGAAATGACACAATTGGCTGATTGATGGATGAGCCGCACGATCGGCACGGAAGTTTTATTTTAATTATTATTTAGCACCTGCTGCACCTCGGTGCAGCCCACACTGCAGGACAAACTTCCTGCTGCAGCTGATCAGCTGTTCTCCGTGCAGAGCGGAGAAGTGGGCGTGGCCAAGAGCGCTTGCAGGTGGCAGAGCGCAACGGAGGCAGGGAGCTGAAATCATGACATTCTGTCTCTTTTAGAGTTTAGAAACATTTGTGGGGTCTAAATATATATACACATACACACACACTAAAATAAACTACCTACTACTCGTAGTACTATCCATACTTCTCAGTTTTTCACTTATCGTGGGGCTTCAGGGTACAGATCCCCCGCAGTAAACGAGGGACAATTGTATTCCAGTTCAAATACTACGGTCACTTTTTAAGGTAAAGTCTCTACACCTTTTACACCCCAACTAGAATAGCACCCAATCTTAACTAAAAACCACGATTGTTAACTTAAGAATAAATTTATTTTCAAGCAAACTTCAGAACACAGCAAACACTGGGTCATTACACCTCTGAGTTTAAGAACAAAACTAATATAGTGTCTTATTTAAGTTATTAAAGCACTTTCCTCCTCAGATAAACAAGTTACATCTACGTGTGGAACAAGGTCGATACATTTTATTGGTCTCCCAATATATTTGTTCGGACAAAGTCCAGGACTTTTCGTTCACGGCATCATCTGAACTCGTTCTTCTGTCACCACGCAGTGGGGCGCTTTGACATTTCAAAGGAAAAGTGTCGTGGGTGCGCTTCACTGGTTGTCTGCAACGATATCGTCCGGCCAGTACTCGTCCTGCATGTAGTGGTTCGACGAGGTGAAGCTCGGCTCAAGCGGAGCGTCGTCGTCCCTCAGCTTGTCCTGCAGCTCCAGCTCCCACTCTCCCTCCACCAGCTTGTAGAGATCGAGGGCAGCCCGAGCGTCCTCCACCGAACAGTGACCTTTCCTCCCAGCCTGAGCAGAAAAACAGACTCAAGTACTCGGGGAGTAAAAATAAAAGAGACAAACACGAGTCCTCAAGGGAACGTGTGCAATCACTGAACGTTTTATTCTACTCAGACTATTTCTGTGAAAGCCATGGATACAAAAACTTTTTAATTACTTCAAACCAGATTCCGACAAAATATGGGTGAGGGGATTTTGGTCAAGGTTTATGGATTTTTTTTTTTTAAACTACCATATTTTCCGCCGTACACATCGCACCGCTTTATAAATCATATCAGTCCAAATATATCTAATAAAGTGGAAGAATACATAAATAAGTCACTTCGGCATATAAGTCGCAGGGCATGCAAATTATGCAAAAAGCGTGACTTATAGGCCGAAAAATATGGTACTACGACTGAGAACGTTTGCCCGTGCACCATGTGTTTGAGTTAGCAGAAAGTAATTTTCTCAGAGCGCGCTGATTTGATCCTGCATGTGCACCTAGATGGCCGAGGTCATCAATGTCTGCTGAGCTGTGAGAGCTGATAAGCTTTTAAAAACAGTTCTCGCACGCTGCCCGGTGCAGACTCTCTCGACTGGGCTCCACGCACGTGGAACTTCTACACATCTGCGTGAGCTGTTGTGCAAGTCTGCCCTTGCAAGTAAAACCAGTTAAAAACCTTCTGGTGTCCTCGAGCGCGGCTTCTCTGAGTAAGATGAACAGGACATTTTTATCAACAATATTGCATTAGAAAATTAATAATTACCTGTATCTGCCTGTTCAGCAGCTTACTGGCCAAGATTTTAAGGGAAGGGTAGCGTTCTCTGGGGAATCCGGCCAGTCGGCTCAGGAGACGTGTTGTGCACGTGTCCCTGACCAGGTGAACGGGGTGGACCACGTTCAGTGCCTCAAAGTCGTTGTAGATGGAGTGACCCACGACCACTCTGTTTTCAAGTATTCTGAGGATCTGCAGAGCGAGTGGACAAAAAAAAAACGACCAGATTATTTCCACTGGTGTGAAATTGTTCCAATGTTTGACTGGATCTAGTCACTGTGCACTTGATTTAAATGTTTCAGTCACAACTTCAGACCGGCACAACTACACAATGCATCTACAGTAGTCCCTCACTTCTCGCGGGGTTTACGTTCCCTCCTGCTGCACCTGTGCGCTGAGCTTCATAACCCCCCCCCCCGTCTCTGCCTCCCTGCCAGATCGTCCGATCGCCTCGTGCCTGAAGTTTCCAACATTCTTGCTCCTGCTCTCGTTCCTAAAGTCTCTGTTCGGGTCGTGCTAGATTATTTTAAATAAACAATCCAGGCTGCTCATGCAGCTCACTCAGGGAAAACATAGACACACCCCCCCCCCTCCTTTCTTTTTCCGAGGCTGTCTGTTGCGCGCCCACCTGTTGCATGTCTCTGGGACACCACGCAGACCAACCACGCCCCCTCCTTTCTCTTTCTTAGGCTGTCACAGCAGAGACCCAAACTGTTGTGTGTCTGCTCTGACAGCCTCAGAAAGAGAAAGGAGGGGGCGTGTTTTTTACTTTCCCCATCGCCAGTCGTGTGTCATGAACAATCTTATGTTGAAAACCTGCGAGAGCGAGTCCGCCAAAGTCGAACCGCAAAGTATCGAGGGACTACTGTACTCTGCACAAGTCCAGAGCTTTCCCGAGAGCAGTTTTGTGAAAACAGACGTTTAAAATATTTCAGGTGTTTTGTTTGGCAGACGTTTCTCGTTGTCGTCTTCCAACAGTGATTCTTCCGCTGAGAATTTCTGACAAGTCCTGAATAAACAACAGATCATATGTAACTCAGCGCCACATTTCAGGTTTTTGCATTATTTAAACTACATCAGTGTTTTCAGGTTTCAGTTATAAACATTTTAAAGACGTGTCACAGTTTTCTTTTATTTTTTTACACCATTCATTCATTCAACCTTTATTTATTTATACAGGTTAGTCTCATTGAGTCACAAGGACTCTTTTACAACAGAGACCTGTAAACTAGTTCAATTTCTTTTAATTTTATGCCAAAATTTAATACTACAGAATTTCCTCATCGGTACAAAAACACAATTTCGCGGCTGTGCAGCTCTGGTTTGTGGCAGTTTTTACAGATAAAAACTGGAACAATAGGTTTTAGAACATGATGTTAAACTACAACTAAAAGCTGGTTATTTGCAAAGTAATCAATCACAAATGAAGCAATGGTTTAAATAAAATTAGTTGCTTAAATAAAAATAAAAAAACATTATCCAAATGAAAAACTTTGGCTAATTATTGGTTTAGACACTTGGGGACGTTCACACAATAATAATTTGTGTTCTGCTCACACCTTTACTCTGTGTATAGTTCTTACAGTGGTTTATCAGTCAAACAAAGATCAGCATTAAACTTTAAATCCAGATGTGTGACCTCAGCTGTACCTCTTCTCTGGCCTGAGTGAAGGGCGTGGCGTTTCGGAGATGCCGCTTCTGGATGCCGCTCCACCGAGTCCTGAAGTTCGTGACGGGCTGACACGGTTTGATGCATTTGTCGTACAGGATGTTGCCGTGGTAGTCGATGATGCTGCAGCGTGCCAGCTCGCTGCACCGCCCGCCGGGCCCCGTCCCCACCATCTCGCAGTCCAACGCCACCACCGAGGTCGGACGTGAGCTGAGGTACGGAGAATTGCGACCGCTGACTGGAGGGCTGGCTTCAGAGGAGAAACCACTGTCCACCTCCCAGCAGTCTCTGAAGGCGCTGATTAAACTGTGTTCGAGCTCAGACGTCGAGGGCTCGTGTCCCATTTCTTCAACACTTTTGTTTTCAGAGTTCAAAGGGCTTTGACCCTCCATTGCAGGGTCACTCAGTTTAGCTTTCTTTATCAATTCGGTTTCATCCAGGGATTCATCTGGGACTCTCTTCATTTTGCTGTGTGGCACGACCATCTTCTGCTGAGGCTTCTTCCTGACTCTTGCATTCTCCACTGAACTGATCAACATCGATTTCTTGTACAGATATCTGTAGTTGCCAAGAACGCCCCGTGAGGAGTCCTTTTTATTACCTTTTACCGATTCTGCCATCGTTGAGTAATGAACCTGGTCTTGAGGTCATACCTGAAGAGACGGTAAGAAAACAAAAAGGTTAACTACATTCAAACCCCGACAGGGTAAACCTGCCTTTTTGTCACCCACACCCATGTAGGGCTGCAACAACGAACGTCGGTCTCTCTGTAGCTGAAGCTGCTGCTTGTTTGTTTGTTAGATGATTAATGACGGTGATAGAGAACGTGTGTTACTTTTTATTTAAATTAATTGGTACAAGCAGTGTTTAAATGTGATTTATAAATAAATCTAACACAAAGATAATAATTTAATGATTAAGCTTCAACTTTTAAATTTGCTGGCAAAGTCTGAAGATACTGCAGGTATGGCAGGATGAATTGCATTTAAACAGGAATTAAAGTAATTTATTACATCTACTCAAATGAGTGTAATTAAGTATTAATATGTGTGTGTGTGTTTAATTGCTCTTTGGGTTACTTATTTGCCTGAACCTAACACTGTAAGTGAAACAAGGCATTTCTTGAGTTGCTGTAAATTATGCTATAATACATATTTACTGTCTCATTCCAGAAAACAACAACAAACAACAACATCCTTCATGATGGACAGACATCATGGACACCACAGCAGCAGCGGTCTTCACTGAAACATCCTGAACATGATCGTCACTGACACGAGGCCTCTGTCGATGGTTGAAGACGAAAGCTTCACTACAATAATCCACACTTTTAATCCAGGTTACAATAATCCACACTGATATAAAAAATGTTTTATAAGGTGTTAAGTTGCCTTTATGCCTATTCAAACATATACATTTTGTGTGTGTTACTTATTATTGCCATAAAAGCAAGGGTGGAATGATATAGAAATGATTATTTTAATGCTTTTTATGTCAATCTATACCTATATTACACTTATTTAAACACACTTATACTCACTTTTGATGCAGCTTATCTGCTTATTCAGTCATTCCTGTGCTGCAGATGCGTTTTGGAGTAATTAAAGTTCTCTGGGGATGCTCTAGCCAGAAGATCGGGCCCAATCTTCAGGTTACAGTGACCCAGGTTTTGAAGGACATGTTTTTTATGAAACCATCGCTCTGTTGCACAGACTGCTTTGATGAAGGAAAAACAGATTTAATTAAATCTGTCCTCCTGGCAACCATCAAAACTTGCTTTGATCTGCTCTCACGCGATCCGGTCAGGGAAGAAGGTATATAAGAAATGTATCAAACAACTTAATCTTTGGAAGTCCTGTGATGGATCAGCCGCGCGCTGGTGCCATGCACCATTTTTGATGTGATTCTTCTTTACCTGGGTCGAAAACGACTTCCCGGCCAGTGTCACGGTGAGAAGTTATTTCATATCAATCTGTGTGTTAAGAGTGTACATGTTTTTTGCTTGGCTGTTTTCTGTGGCAGGATAATAAAGGACACTTATTACTCCTAGCAGTAACAGCTTCCTCTATGTTTTATTTTTCCTTCTGGTCTGAATATCTGTGCCGACCGTTTCACGAGCCCTTTTGATAAAGAATTTCATAATACACACACTTTTAATCCAGGTTACACTCTTCCCTCAAGGACACATTTTACAAAGTAGCTACATATTGTGCAGGTATAAAGATACATTTGTAAACATTTTTGTGTACATTAATTTTTTTAAGCTATATGACTAACTTTTATTTTTTATTATTCAATATTTTACTAACAGAATAGTCAAATTGCAACCTGTTTTTTGTGCGAATTGCTACGTCAGTCAAATGTTCAATTTTGGAATAAAGGGGTGGAAATTAAAACTTTTCTTTTTTTTTTGTCGATGCATCGATTCATCGGGAAAAAATAAATAAAATAATAATCGGTAGATGAATCATTATTGAAATGATCGTTAGTTGCAGCCCTACACCCATGCAAGCGTTTTTCTTGATGTGCGGACATGATACATTACACAGATGAGAAACGTTATTAAAGTACAATTCAAAGCAATGTTTGACGATGTTTTACCAGCTTCAAAAGGACTAGCTTTCAATTGAACTGACATCGAAGCAATTTAAAAGAAATGCCAGGTAACTTAAGTTAAGCTGGTTAACTGGTCATCATTAACTTCACTTCTTGATCTGCTGCCTTCATACATCTCCTACATGACTCTGCGTGAGTGCAGCTACAGTGTGCGCTCCCAGGCAGTGTTGCCAGGTGTACGGTAATTATCGTGTTTGTACGACAATTTTGCCCGCTGTACGATCAATAATCCCAAAAAAAGGCCAAATATACGATAATTTGACCATTCCCTGAATGTGTGGTTGTCATCAGCCTCTCCCAACCGTCTGTCGGAGCTTTTTTGTGAACCCTGAAGGCATCCGTGTCCGCAAACAGATGCACGATTGGCTGGAAGTGCTTTTCTAAATGTGACATACGAGTGACGTGTTTGCCTCAGAACGACGGCCATGATTGGATGAATGAGTGAGGAAAAGGAAAAAGAGACAAGAAGAAGAAGCAGAGCCGGTTTGGAAGTGGACCCATCACTACTACAGTGCATTAATAGATTTGTTATTTTGGTTATGACGGGTGTACGATCATTTCCCTCAAAATACGATAATATTACGTCTCTAGTACGATAATCCTACATTTCTCACCTGGCAACACTGCCCCCAGGACATCATTACCTGCAGTGTTCCCTCAGTGAGAACTGAACTAGGCAAAAGGACCTTCTCTTACTCCGCTCCTGTTTCCTGAAATATCTCACAAAAAGATCAGAAGCTCTCAACCTTGATCTCTCCAAGTGGCTTCAAACATCTGTTAAGTTCATGGCAAAACCCACCGCAGACATGTTCCTGTTTCTAATTTTCTACACCACCTTATAATTCGTTTTTTCCACTACTTTCCCTTTTGACTGTCCATTTGGTTGCCATTTTGTTTTGATTTAAATTCGTATTTGTGACCGTCTATTGTTGTTATTCACTGTTGTCATCACTCTGTTAAGAAATCAGGTCTCTCTTGTAAAAGAGTCCTCGAGGCTCAATGGGATTAACCTGTCTAAATAAAAATAAATTAAAAAAACAATCCTGGGTCAGGAGGTCCACGTCAAAACGAAATGAACCCTATGTGAACAGGCCGTTTCCTTCTAAACAAACAAAACACTTAAAGTTTGGCTAACCATGCTTGAGCCGAATTGGCCACTTGCCTTAAAGGTCGAAGAAAACACCGTTTATTGACTTGTACATCTTTCTTCAGTCCGCCCGCTACTATATTTTGCTAAAACTGATGCATATCTTAATGGAATTTGGCAGACCGGCATGAAAACCCAAGCTCGTTGACACAAATGCGTCATACCAGACTACGCAGTTAAGAAAACTCCCAAAAATCAATACCGTCGGAACATCTGGTACTTTTGACTGTTCCCAACACGCGTATTAAATTAAACAAAGAAACATATTTAACGTTACCTTCCTGAGCAGCACGTGTAGATTCATTAAACATGCCCGAACAAGTTATAAGCAGCCTCGCCACCTGATTGGTTCACGCTCTTCTTCGTTCGCGCTGGAACAGGACGCGTAAACACGAGCGCCACCTCGTGGTTCAGGGCGGTATATGTAAATAATTTGAAAATTCACATTTAGACTTAAAAGCATAATAAAACACCGTTTCGTCAGCCATGTCATTTTCCTTCAAACATTTTGAGTGGCAAATAGATTTTATATGAAATATATCACAAATTTCGTTGTATTTAGGTGCAATGGCAATAAAGGTCCATTCGAAATGCACTGATTACTTCTAGTCAAAATAAAACTACTTAATTTACCTTAAAAAAAAATCTGAGTCAAAAACTTTCGACCCTGGGAATCACAAACCATTTGTTTAAAACCAACTTTTTTTCTTTATTAATTGTTGCTACCATGAAATCTAATCATGTAATTGCACTTGCACTTAAACCCAATTGAAAATGGCCCCGCTAATTCACTATAACACACACACACACACACACACACAAATACATCTGTACAGGAACTTTGCATTTTTTTATTCTTTATTTAAATTAGGACAATGCATATTAATCAACATGTCAGCAGTAAGCATCAATGTAACTATGCCGGAGTTAGCACAGTAGCATTGCCTTCCATTGATTACATTGACTTCCATTAATTTCTATAGCCTAACCCATCCTCAGTTCACCCCTTACTCCTACACCTTAACCCACCAACGGTACGTCTTACAGGATCCGGGCCCCACAAGGACCAGTTGCACCTCACAATGTAGTTTGTTGGAAATATGAGCCTTAAAGTACAAAGACAAAGCAAAGTCTAAAAATAAAAATTGTGACGATATTGAGCAGATGTTTGGTGTGGTAGTAGCTGAGACTGATCACAGGTACAAGGCAGCCAAGGTGGCAGGCGATGCTGGTTTAGCTGTAATATTTTTATCCGTCATGGCAGAATAACGCATCAGAAATGAGACGAACACATCATTTTGGTTTTGTGGGCCTTTTATTTATTTTTTATTTCATAGTTCTTCCAAATGTACAAAAACAAAAACCAGTTACAAACAACAAACAGTAGTTAGCCCCTGTGATGACAAAACCAAAGCAACAGACGGCTGGAAAACTGGCATCAAACCAAAGTGCATCAGCATGATGTGTAGACAGACCCGAGGAAATAGAAATCTCATTCAAAAGCGGTCCCTCGTCCCTAAAAATTTGGTACGGTTTGAAAATAAAATAAAAACATCGGGCAGACCCTGGCCACTACTTCTCCACAGTGATCCTGAGCGGCGGAGGGCCTATGGGATGGCCGCGTCTTGACTTCGGCTTCAGAGCATTTGTTCACTAAGAGTGGAATTAATTTAGTTCTTCGTCTTCCTCAAGCCCCCTCCTGTTGTGACGGATGCGGAGTTCCCGTTGGGCGCTTTTATAGCTCAGACTTGTCGCCGTCCTTCTTCTTTTTCTGAACCACCAACGGGTTGGTGGCCTCCTTCTTCAGGTAAGAGATGAAGTCGTTCACCTCCCGTCCTCCCTGCAACGTGAGCGGCGGGACATGAGAACCGGGACGCAGGTCGGAAACCAGTTTTGGTGAAGACAAACGAGAACTGAAACTCACCTCGTATTTCTTGGGGTTCGACTTGCGTCCAGCAGGGGAGAAGTAGATCGTAGGGAAACTGGAACAAAAGAGACGTAAATTCCTCTTGACACAATAAAACGTCAAAAATGACTTTTCCAAAACTTCCAGCTGAAGCAAAGAAAGTTTTCCAATAACAGCCAAACGCATCCTACAGCCTCAGCTAAGAGTGAAAATACATTTTATTAGATTTCTAAGATCTACAAACCCGTCGGTCGCTCAGGGAGGCCAGAAAAATTTTTAAAAAATCACAGCTAGTGACCCACGGACTCACCCGCTGACTTCATATGGAGATGGCACATCGTTGGCTGTGGCATCCATCTTGGCAATAACAACGTTTGGATCGTCGGCCAGCTGAGGAAGAAACAACTCGTTAGTGGAGAATTAAAAATAAATCTTCACATCACAACTTTTATCAGGTTCTTTTGGTTTGCACAAGGTAAACCAGTAAAATAATAAACAGGTGACATCAGTTTTTTTTTTTTTTTTTTTAAACAAGATTTTACACTTAAAGCTGAAATGATAGAAGACCTACATGTTTTTAATCACACCGTTATTTAACATAAGCTTTCGGACCACAGAAGACCACTTCAAGTATTTAGTGGTTTTAACGCGCTCATCAACGAGGACTCTGTGCAACAGGAATGTGATTGGTCCACGTTACTCATTGGTCTTTGTCCCTACACGACCCGCACTGTCAGATAAAAGGAATACTTCCGGGTCGCCGTTGATAGATTAAAGGAAAATGCACTGGAAATAAATTACTTCCAGCTTTAATTATAAATCGCCAATTATACCCTGTAAGCTGATTTAATACAACAAATATGATATTAATACAATATATTTATGACACAAACCATATTTATTATTATTTAAAATATCTCTTTCTATAAATTGATTCATTTTCCAAAACAATGTTATAATTTCGTTTATGAATAAGAACCGTCTTAATTTACTTAGAAAGGTACGTGCTCCATCTCCATGTTGTTAATTTACGCCACTCGTACTTCCGTTAAATCACTGACGTCATTGGTTAAAATGACGTGATTCATTTTTAAGGTGATGTAGCGCAGCTTCACCACTGAGCGGCGCTGTTTCCCCATGGAAATAACTCATTCTGCGTCTTGCAGGGTTTCCTCATTCAGCACCGGCTGGGGGGGTCAGGTCACGAGGCCGGTCACCATAACCCATTTTGCTGGGCGATTAATTGTCTCAGAAATTATTGCGATAAACGATAACATTGAAATTTGACAATAATTAGTAATTATTGTCAAATTTAAGAAGAAATGTTGATTTGTGCGTGGTACCGTTTTTCGACCACCGGATGGCAGTATAAGACAGTTTGGACCAAAAAGTAATCAATTTACAGAAAGATATTAATATGGTATGCTTCATAAATATATTTTATTAATATCAAATCAGCTTACATGATATAAATGAGCACATCTTTATAATTAAGGCTGGAAGTAATTATTTCCAGTACATTTTCCTTAATCTGGCATAATCTACAGCGATCCATGCGACCCAGAAGTATTCCTTTTAGCGCATGCACAAATGAGCTGACGGTACGGATCATGCAGTGACAGACTTATTACCCTTAAAGACTAAAGACCCACAATGCACTGCTCCAAGTACTTCTACTCTAGTGATAAACGTGACATGTTTGACCTGACTGCACCAACTGTTAGCGAAGTGTGGAGCAATCACAGCATTCCCCTGACGGCAAAAGCAAACTCGTCCTTATAACTGTTCTCTAGGGCACCAACAGCCCCAAGAGTTGTTTTGTTTGGTCCTGAAGTGTTCTCTTCAACATTTTAACTCATTTATAACAAACATTTCACTTCCTGCTTTTCTCATGTCAATGTGAAAAACAAAACTAAATGTTTGCAGATGTTTTATGAAGCGAGGGTCAAAGCTCCCGTTCCCTACCTTCTCTCCCAGCTCCACGTATTTTGGCTCCAGGCTCTTGCAGTGTCCGCACCACGGCGCGTAAAACTCGATGAGCACATCTTTGCTGTCGTCGTTGACGATGGAGTCAAAGTTCTCAGCCACCAAAACCTGAAGACAAAAACATCACAGCTTTCCTTCGGTCATCCGGGGACTCCAAGTGTTCATATCAACAGCAACACCTGGTTGGATCTCCTGGGCAGCTTTAACTACACTGAAGCAGAGATTTGTTTTATTTGTTTTAATTTAAAAACAGAATACTACACTCTTTATTTTGTACTCGAGATGTATAATGTCAAAAAAAAATAAAAAAAAAAAAAAAAAAAGTGGCAGAAGAGGTGGTGAAAATGGTTTAAAATTTCAGTGGCAGGTTAAAAATTTACCCCGCAAGTCCTTAAAGATTCAACGTGTACATCTTTACGAGGACCTGTGCAGCACAGAACTACCGTAATTTCCAGACTATAAGCTGCTAATTTTTTCCACACGCTCTGAACAACGAAGCTTACGGACTTACAGCTTTGACGGGCTAACGAGCTTCATGCCGCTTATACGTTAAGCCTGGCCACACCCGGGCGCTCGCATACTGTATTTTTCACCCTATAAGTCTCAGTTTTTTGCATAATTTACATGCCCTGCGACTCATACGCTGAAGCATCATTTATGGATTTTTTCCCATATTTATAAACAAAATTTTGGCTGAGATTTGACTGTTTTCATTAACTCTGACAGAAAATATTGAACACTACCATTTTCAGCCACTAGATGGCACTCAAGTAGTATGCCGTTGTATCATGTAATAGGTAAAAGTGCCTATTAATGAAACAATCGGCTTGCCATAGCCTGCCCCGTCGTCTGCCTGGAGCAACCGTCAAATCAGCTGCATTTTGCTGCGACGCCCCGAGAAATGAAGCCGATTTGACCACTGAAGTGCATTTATTAAGTTAAAGTTCAACAGACACACACCTTGGCTATAAAATCGAGCAAACAATTGTTTTATGTGGTTATCTTGTGAAATTTCTAAAAAAAAAAACACAAGCGAGTCGCCCTCTCAGTTCATGTTTCCGGAGGACTGCTTGTGAAAATGCAGCTGATTTGAAAGTGCATTTATTAAGGAAAAGTTAGACTGAGACACACCTTCAAGTATAATTTCGAGCAAATCGTCGTTTTTAAGTGTTAATCTTGTTAAAGTCCTCACGTGCACGCCCCCGCGGCTGCCATTTTGCAGCCAATCAATTTTTGACAACACCAGCCCACATTTTCAGGCTCCGCCCACATCTCCAAGTCGTCAACGGTGACGCATAGATGCGACGTATACGACGAAGCGACGCATTTATGGATTTTTTTCACTAAAAATACGGCAGCTAATACTCGTCTCTTGTGGGTGAGTCCTCATGACTCAATGAGACTACCTGTAAAAATAAAGATAAAAAACGATAATAAATCTGACCAATGAAATTACAGAACAGGTCGCAATTTAAAATAATTTCTCAGTTTCTCCCCCGTTCTCTCCTCCCCTCCCTACTGTGCCCCCAGGACTTAGTTTGTGCAGCATTGCACAGGTGGAAGGTGAAGATCAATCGATCAATGACTTCCTGGTAGGACAGTTTTTTCTTCTTCTTCTTCTTCTTCTTAAACCCCGAGTGTTACAGGCACTTCAAAAAGAAAAAGTTCACCGTCTATATCCGTGTATGTTAAGGTTAAAAAGTATTTGTTAAATATCTAATGCTACAACATGGACACCCATGGCTTATAGACGAGCGTGATCTTTATACGTAGAAATCTTTATTTAAATTTAGTGGGCGCGGTTTATATTCAGGTGCGCTCGATGTACTGGAAATTACGGTAATTCAACAGATTTTTTTTAACTTGAATTACAGATTTTGCTTTAGGTTTGATGAAATCTTAATGTTGTGGTTTTCTGTTCAGAAAGTTAAAGTGTGTTAAAGACCTTCTACACGTCAGTGGCTCTGCCTTTTGGTGTGGGGTCAAACCCGTCACTTCCATTGGCTTCACAGGTGTTGGCACAAGGAAATGTTCCCGTTTTTTAATTTCTACATCGCTTTACAACCTAGTGTTTTTATAATAACATTTTCTTTTATATATGTTATTCTCAATTTGTAAGTTTTATGATTGTCTACTATCATCACTGTTAAAATCAGGTCTCTTGTAAATGAGCCCCTGAGGCTCAATGGGATTAAACTGTAAAAATATATAGTTTGTGGACATGTAACAAAAATGTAAAGATTTGTTTTAAAACAGCAGTTTTAGGAAAGATTTCTCACCTTAACTGGTCCATCATTGTTCTCTGGGATTGCTTCTGATTTGAGGTAGCGCTTCAGCTTTCCATCGAAGTAATCTTGCAGGAAACGCTCGAGAGCTTTTCCATCTCGGCTGTCGGGACAACGCAGAACAAATCAGCAGAGCTGGAAAGTGGAAAAAAAACTGCGGCTCCGCGTCTGCACTTGAGCTGGAAGTCATTAATCTAAACTTAGTCATTTGTACTTTTAAACTCTTAAAAAAAGGTCCGTCAGTGAATGAGAGGAACTTGAACAATTAGTTTTAAATTTCTAAAAACTTCATAAGAACGAGCAAATAAAGTGTCACTGGGAACCTTCAGAGCATGTGACGTTCGCTGAATAAATGAAGAAAATAAAAAAAAACTTCACAAGTTAAATTTTAAAGCCGTCCAAAATCCATAAAAAAAGGCCAGTTTTACAAGTTAAAACACCTCAAATAATCAACAAGTATTACTAAAATACATTTGAATGCTCGGTTTGTGTTTAAAATGAGACGCTGCGTCTGCGCAGCAGGACTTACGAGAACTCCTCGCTCATGACGTATTTGTCTCCCTTGGCGGAGCGGATGGCCACGAGAGGCAGCTCCCCCGAGCTGCCGTCCAGGCCGAACTCAGACACTTCGTGGTTGAACTGGTTCTTGTTGGCGACGGCAAAGTTCAGCTTCTTTCCCTGATCCAGGAAGCTTTTGGCAACCTTCATCACCCTGCAAGACGTTTAGTAACGTCATTACTTTGTTCAAGTCATGCACTTGGAGTTCAACGAAAGACGGTTATTTAAACGTTTTTTAAGAGACCGTGGTTTTAACAGGTGAGGGTCAAGATAAAGCCGAGAGTGAACCGTTGCTGCAGGAAGGTTTCTGAGCAAACACCAACCTGTTCCTCCAGTAGTTGGAGCCTTTGGGGTTTTTCTCGTAGTCCACATCGTAATAAGCCACCAGCAGGTCTTTCCCTCTCAGCTGGTCTTTGTTGTCGTCCGTCATGTGGGGACAGATCCCGAAGCTTCGAGGAGTTAAATGAGATCAGGTTAATTACAAACAGTTTTTAACTGAACAGCTAAAATGTGTCGGAGCTCAGTCTGTAGAGAAACCTGCAGCGCAGCCAAACAAAACACCGTCCGGTTCATTTAAACCAAGCCCGTTAAACTGAAGACCAAGAACACACAAAAAAACTTGATGAAAACTAAAAACTGTTGTAACGGACTATAAGCCACCCCCCCCCCCCCCCCCCCCCCGCCCTCGCCCCTCCTGTCCGCCCCTCGCCCCCCACCCCCTCCTCTCCCCACCCCACCCCCCCCGCCGCCACACACGAAAAACACAGCA